GTTAACGAGTGGGCCAGAGGCCAAAAAAAAAAAAAAAAAAAAAAGAAAAAAAAAAAAAAAGAAATAAAAGAAGGGATGGAAAGACTTGTGAGTCTGCTTGTCTTCATACTCACTTGTCTCCTTCAATCTACTGGCAGTATCTCGAACCTTTTCTCGAGGACTTCCGCAAGCTGCGTCATATGAAGCGTGATGGGCGTAGGTTGCAATTAACGCACACCCCCCGCCGCCCTGTCACACTCCTCTACACACTTGTTGCAGTGCCAGAGGGCGTTTCTTCATCCATCCCTTGCGATCTTACTTAGAGTACGAACTTATGCACATGGATGAGTTTGTGGACCAGCTGTTGCGAGAGGACCGCGTGTGCGACATTATCTTACCTCGTCTGATGGTTCGAATGCAACCGACATTTTTTTCTGACGTCTTGCTCTGATGCCTGCTTCCTGACCGCTTCCTGCCTCCTGTCGCACTTGATCATTCACGACGTGCGTTACTGCCGTGCTGGTGCTAGGCGCGCTATACCATGGAGCTCAACGATCAACTTGCACCGCGCGTTAGTGCGCTGCAAGCCGAATTTGAAGAAGCCGAGGCCGAAGAGCAGGAGCGTCAACTTGCTGCCGAAGCTCAAGCCAAGCAAGAGAAGAGCCGGTCCGATGGGGACCGCCATCGTTATCGTAGTCATAGTCGCAGCCGCAGTCGCAGCCCTCAACGCCGTTACAGCCGCAGCCCACGTCGCTACAGTCGTAGCCCCCGACGTCGCTATAGCCGTAGCCCCAGCCCGCGCCGACGTTCCCGTAGCCCGGTGTATCGGCGCTCTCGCTCTCGATCGCCTCCTGGTATGCCTCTGATCAGCCCGGCCTTGCATGCTTTTGATGAAGCTGTGCTGCTTTTCCCCTTGACAACCCCTTGGCTCTTTTGGCTCACATCGCCGGATTCTCCTCAAACCCGTTCACGCCTGTCCACAGCTCGTCGTCGTTCACGGTCGCCTGATGAGCGTCGTCGACGCACCCGTTCTCCATCACCTTATCGACGCCGGCGCTCTTATTCCCGCTCGCCATCACCCCGCCGACGCTCTTATTCCCGCTCGCCGTCACCCCGTCGTACGTTACCATGGCCCAAAATACTGAGACGCAAAGCATGCCCTGTCCCGCGCTGCTTTGGTTTGATTGGGGCTTTTTTTTATACCTCACGATATAAAACATTGGTCAGGTGAAACACCTTTGTCGCGAGATGGCGACCGACGTACTAGGGCGGAGCGCTCGCCACCACGACCACCTGTCCCCAAACGGGAAGATGAAAGCGATGAAGACGTGGATCCCATGGCAGACCTACGGGCCATGGAGGCTGCTGGTCGGCACAGTACTGCAAGCGGAGGAACCAAGAGCAATAAACTGAAACTGAAACTGAAAACTCCCAAGAGCAAGGCCACAGGGAATGCAGACCCGGCCCCTCCTGCCGGTCGTTCAGGCAAGCCAAAGGTAAGGTCGATTGTTTTTGAGTGCCTCCTCATGGGCGGTGCCGCTTGGTTCAAACAGCCTCATTTTTTTTTGACTGCATCGCCCATCAGACTCAAGAGGAAGAGATTGCCGAAGCAAATCGTCAGCGTGCCATGCTGGGACTTAAGCCCTTGCGTCCGTGATCATGCAACGTTTTGCGCTTCTCCAAATTCACAACATCTAGCATCCCGCTATGTCCCGGGCAGCCCTCACGGGCTCTGCAGTCAAAAAAAGTGTCAATACGCCAACATGATCGAGTTCCGTTCTGAAATGCCGGGTTTTAGCATGAATTCGGGGGTCGCCAAGGCAAACATTGGACTTGGTTACAATCGTCGCTGCGGTGGCTAGTTGAAAGCTTTGAGGAGTTGCAACCTCGCCTGGTTCACCGGGTTCCCAGCCTTTAAGTAGGGGCCTATGAAATCGGGAATGGCAAGGCGACGTGTCAGCCAACGGCCGCCTAAAATCTCATCGGTGCATTCAAGGCTCGTTACAGTGACTGCACGCACCTTCTTTGAGAAAAGAGTGGTACGGATTCTTGGCGCGCTCCTCAATGGCATGCGTGTCGGCCAAGCTCTTCAAACTATTTTTTATGACTTCTGGCAGTTTATCTGAAAGACTCATGTGCATGAATGAACAACAGCAAACAGTGAGAATGCGTGGATAGGGCGTCCAAGGCTCTGTGTGTGTGTGTGTGTGTGTGTGTGTGTGTGTGTGTGTGTGTGTGTGTGTGTGTGTGTGTGTGTGTGTGTGTGTGTGTGTGTGCAAGTCAAAGTGGCAAGATGCAAGAAGCAGAGTCGAATGTGGGCCTGAACGCGACATGGAACACACCGGCCGTGGCCTCAAGGGCCTTGTAGACTGCCAACATGCGCTTCTCGCTCACGGGTTCATCCAAAGGCACACGCTTTGCATCTACACAAGAGTGTTTTAGCCACGACACGATAGTCAAGCAACATCCTTATTAAGGTGCGATAGAGTGAAAAGGAAAGAAAGCGCGAGCGTGCACGCACCAGCAAGTTTCTTGCCAACCACAATGGTTTCTGCCTTGATGAGGCCGAGGCCGACACACATGCTGTTGAGAAAGCCAAACTATTGCGCAGGAGGTGCAACGGAGGTGAGATCAAGGGCAAGCGTACTGAAAGAAAAATTAAAAAAACATCACAGTTGAACAAACAGCTCATACCAGCACGTCCACGCTTGGCTTCATGATAAAGTCGATGAGGTGCACCAGACCTTCCGTCTCCGACAGCACGCACAACTGCAATTGGCATGTACCCACGCAGCGCACACGCATGAGTTGTCAGCGCATGTCATCGAGTATTTTCAAAGCAGTGGCACATCCAACCTCAAAAGCAATGTCCCGCAATGCATTGGGGTACCGCGCATACGCAGCTGCGTGTGTTTCAATGGTCTCAGCCTAAAGATCCGACAGTGATGTGAGCCTCTTAATCGATCACGACATCGCGGCAACGCCAGTCCCAACTACTTCTGTCGCCCAACGAACTTTGTTGCTAGAATGTTGAACGGCCATGGCCAGGCTAGCCACGGAATGTGCGAGTGGTTCACCCCTAGTTGTGAGGCGTTGTTGTTCGGTGATCTGTGGGGTGGTCGCTGTGTCGATGGGAAGCTGGGCCAGTTGCTGTGTGACAGACGCAGTAGCGGCACTAGGAGCGATTAGGCCCAGAATGGCTGGATGAGCGGGACGCGCGAAACGGCTGGGGCAAAGGCAGCGTGACAGCCACGCACTCAAAAACTTTGTCGGTGGGCATGTTATCGTCGTAGTCAATTTCGTCCTCGGGTTCCTCATCTTCTTCAGCTGACGTTTCGTTGTCACTCATTTCCCCCAATTGGCTTGTGTAGCTTGTCGAAAGAGCGGAACGGCCGGATTCACCAAAGAGGTTGCCATTGGCTTCGAGTTGGCGCACAGGCTTGCCCTTCAAGATTGACAGAAGCACATTCAAGCTCTGTGCGCCCAAGCACGATCAAGTCAGACCAAGGTGCAGGAGATGCATGAGGAAGGAGCGGCAATGAGAGGCGGCTTGTCTTGCACATGCATACTTGTTTTGTCAAGTCGTTGTATGAAATGTCGAGGTGACTCAGCTGCTTGGCGCCTGTAAAAAGTGTTGGCCAAGAGAGGCATGACAAGTAGCAACCAAAAACGCGGCTAGCATTAGTCCAGACACTGCAAGTGGTGCCACAAGAAGCAAGCACCGTACCATTTAGGCCTTCAAGAATGGGGATCACCCCCGCATCTCTGAGGCATGTGGTCTCAAGAAGAACCGTGTGCAGATTGGGGCAACTACGGAACGGTGTCGCGTGGTACATAACAAAAGCTCCATCAGCACAGGCCAGGACACGGTTGTTGGGGCAGCCGAACGTACCGACGAGCCATGTGCCCGAGAGCAATGCCACCGCGGCGTTTGATGGCGTTATCAGACAACTCCAAGATCTGGTGAGACATTGAGACGGGTAAGGGGGAAAGGAAGCGAGAGAGGGCGTGTGAGTGTGGCGCGAGAGAAGAAGGCGCCCGTCTTGAAGAATATCAAGTGCAGCAGTTGGCCGGGCGTGAAGACCATGCAGGACTAATTGCTGCATCTACTGCTGTCCAAAATGGCTTACCTCGAGATTCTGGTTGTGCGCCAGGCCACGGGCCAGCGCCACGATTCCCTCCTCATAGATGCCGTTGTTGTTGACGCGCACCTCGCGCAGCGAGCCCATCATCTACACACAAAGCAGCAGCGGGATTGAACCAAAGAAAAGAAGCAAAGGGAAAAGGAATGCGTGAAGAGGGGAACGAGGCTCGTACTTCAAAGGCTTTGCCAATCTCAATGGAGCCGTCGAGTTCAAGACGGCTACGGCCGAGGATAAAGGCCTCGAGCGCGTAGGGGGTGCCCTTTTCCTGACCCAAACGACAGGCTGCTTGCAGGGCCTTGCCCACGGTCTATGCGTAGGAATATGATACCACACGATCAGAAACAGCGAGGTCGACATGGAGGGTTGAAGCATTATAGGTTCAAGCTCATCGATACGTACTGCGCCGCCGCTGGGGCCGACACCCGTATTGTTGAGGACGAGGCGTTTGAGGGTAAGGCAGCGGGAAATAAGAGGAAACAGATTTTCTGCACCCTGCGGATTTACGGCGTTGTCGCTATCAGGAGTACAGGCGGGAGGGGAGTTCGTGGCATTCGCGATGAGATGGCCGGTGAAAGGAAATCCAAAGACCGCGACCACTAGGGCAAGGAATGCTTACCTGAGGTCAAGCCAGGTGAGATTGTCAAATTTGAGAAAGACGTGGGCAAAGCGCGAGAGCGCGGGGTGAATTTCGGGGATTTTGCGGCGCGTGAACATGTCATCAAAGAGGACAGTCTCGATGGAGGGGTGGGCGCTCAAAGCATCTGCCATCTCAAAACAAAATTCTTTGCTGTAACTGCTGCCCGTGAGTTCAATAGCCTGTTTTGCAGGGTGTGTTGGCAACAAAGAGCATGATAGTCAGCATGTGCGCCAGGCATGGCATTTGGCTAGCAGTCTGCCAAAAGCTGCGTTCAAGGTCGTTAAGTCCAGAGGTAAGCACAGACCTGGAGGTTACTGGCATCCTTCAATTTTTGCAGCAATGCCTTAGCATCCTCATCGCCACTTTCGGCACTCTCGATCTGATAAAGGAGAAGAGCAGGGCATGAGACGAGACTTGAGGAGACATAGCCGTCTGGAGCCAGCCGTCTGCAGGGAAACAAAAAGCAGGGCTGTTGAGCGACGCACTGCTTTTTGCTGCATCATGAAGGAAATGGTGGTGGGGCGCTCACGCAGCGCCTCGCGCTCCTCATCGTAAAACCCCATCTATCGCGACACCGTCAGTCGGGAAGCATGAGTGAGTCCGCCGCTGGGCGAGAGTGGCCGACACATGGCTTGCGCCGAGCCAGAAGTTGTCACCGTGTGGTGTACGAGTGCGTGTGTAGCACGCATGACATACCGTGGTGGATCACCAATGTCGCAACGCAGAGCAAAGCCCTATGCCTGACGTCTCGTATCACAGCAAACCCAAATGTGCACAAAGGGCATCCAGTGCAGATGGGAAGTTGACCCTCCTTCCAAACCAGCTCGCGGCCCGACTGGCAGCAGTGATCAAAAAAAAGTAGACAAAAACCGTCAGAGCAAACGTGCCCTGTGAAAGTGTAATAAAGGTTCCACTATGCCTGATCACAACTGGCTGACATTGGCGCCGGTGACTACCAAATGTTATTCGCTCACTGGAAAGCGGGACCTGACTTCAAACGGCAGTGGCGGTTATGGTTTGTTCGGCAGCGCGGGTGGTGCAGGCGTGAGGGGTTTGGCGGTGAGGGTAGTGACTCCTTCCCAAGAGGTCAATCGGCTGAGTTCCCTTGAGATCAGTCCAGCTGCCGTGCTCGATATCGACAGGCCTACCAAGTCAGAGTGAAGAACCCCCTTGTTAGTGTTTCTCTCCTTGTATAATTACGCTTGTGTTTGCTTTGTGCTGGCTACACACACACACACACAACACACACACACACACACACACACACACACACACACACACACACACACACACACACACACACACACACACACACACACACACACACACACACACACACACACGAGAACGGCAAGCAGACGGCACAGGAGGGCAGTGCACGAGTTTTGCGCTTGCACCTGGTACGACGTGATACGGCACGGCCTGTTTTTGGTTGGAGAGCCCGTGTGACTGCAGCAGTCTTGGGATAGTTGAGGAGAGCCTTGATAAGGGGTGCCAAGTGTGTTTTCAAGTGGACGCCAAAAAGGTGGGATGCCTCCCTCTCTGGGTTTGAGCAGCGTGTGTCATCAAGGGTTGCGCTGATCGATGGTGAAGCCATGCCTCAGCTGTGTGTGCTCCTCACATGCTGGTGGCTGAGAGGCGCAGTGCGTGTCTACGGGGTTCAACTCTGTGCTTCTGGTTGTCCTTGATTCATTTTCTATTGGGTTCAACTCTGTGCTTCTGGTTGTCCTTGATTCATTTTCTATTGGCGACCTTTGCTTATCTAGATTGTGAGGCTGCTCGCTGGGAATGTGCCGGCGCTTCGGCTCCTTGGCGTTGGTACGCTCTTGCTTCACACACGCACACACGCGGTCGAACTTAGCGAAGACACATACACAATGATACAGCGATGCACGCAGGTTCATGATGAGTACGCCCTCACTTCGATTCAACATTGGACTTGTCTCTTCCTCGCTGCCATGCATCGAGGGGTTGGGGGTTGTTAATCTACGTTTGCCGCTGTATTCGCTAAACCTCGTTTTTGTGCATTGGCTTCCTCTCTCACTATTCACTTGCGCCTCCTTCCTCCGTCCATCCCATGCTCCTCGTATCCAACCTCACTGTGCTTTCTCCTTTTTTTTTTTTTTCAGACGCAGGCCTCTCAGTGCCATGGCTGAAGCTCGCCATCGTCACACATGACCGGGATTGAGTAGTCTTCAAAGCGGCATTGCCACATCGGTCCCTGCTCGCTCGACGCCCTTCAGGGCGTGCACAGACACCATTGTTGGGGTGCTCCCTTATTTCTTGTCTAAATCGTGGCGCATCAGCATTCGTCATGTTCAAGCTTGTACGTTGCAACTTCTCGTCATCGCGCACCTTTGCTCTGAGGGGCCTCAGCCTTTTTCCATCTTCTTGGCTTGCTCACTGCGCATCACATCAACCACTGCCTCAGGCGCCCCTCAAAAGCTTGCGACAAGTGGCTGTGCCAAATGACTGGTTCAGCGAGGAAAACTTGAGATTCTTGCTTCATGCTCCACAACCATGTGCTTGGGTTGTCAAAAGCTCGGCCTCTAGCTCTGGCACAACTGGCTTCCTGATCAGCGTTCCCACTCCAACCTTGCTGGAGTACTTCAAGACGAAGCCCCAGCTCAAATCATTAGGAGAAGGTAAGACCTGTTTTACTTCTCTGCGCTCCTCCATCGGCCACCCCTAGGAAACAACACTGGACTTTGTTTTCCTTGCCCTGTCTGGCCAGTCCACTCCTCTTCTCAACCGGCTCGTTCATGCCTGCCCCGGACTTAGCCACGGCCTGGCAAGACCTCGAGCCACCTTCCGGGGATGTCACCAACGCATTTGCTCGGTGGTGTGCCTTGTATGTTATTGCGCATCATGTGCAATCCGGCCTGCCAGCTCTACAGGCACATATCTCATGTTCACGTCACACTTGCATCGGTTGCCCAGACGCTTGATAAATCATGGCATTCCCGTTCGTGGAGCTACTGTCCTGTTGCAACCCACGTCGCGCCACAACGACAACGACAACGGCAACGGCAACGACAACGACAACGACAACGACAACGACAACAGCTTGTAAGACGCGACGCGATGATGCTACCTCCTTACACTTCTCGCGGACTTCTGTACCCGTAGATCCAGACTCACAATGTGTGCCCCCCCCTTTTTGTGCTGCTACTGTGGTCATAGTGGATGCACAGAACGAGAGTTGATGCACTTTGGCGTTGAAGCAGCCGTGTTGCCCGAGACCGACAACAGTGTCCGGGGCACATCTTGGCTGGTTCTGCGCTTTACCCCCGTCGAGCCCGACTGCATGTTGGTACCTCATCGGTTGAGCCCCCACCAAATGCAGGTGAGCTCGTGCGATCACCTTAAACCTGGCAATGATCATTTCCAGCATGATCGCACGGCCTCTTATTGCACGTCTTGCTTGCCCCTCCCGACAGTATCCTCGCAGCATGCTGGAGTTGGCACAGCTGTACTCGCGTGCCATGCGGCCGCCGTCCCCTGATGCATCTCCAATCACACCAGCGGAAGGCATCACGCCCCGAGACGTGTCAGCGAGCACCTTTTTACACAGACTACCTCGTAAAGCTGAGCTAGTAGCCTTCTCAGCAAGTACAACCGATGGTGACGGAGACGGCACTCTCACTGCCACATCTGATTTGGTCAAAAAACTACGGCGACACCCTCGCGTCGACGTGCTTCAACAACTGCACAGATCAGCGCAGCAAGGCTCGCTCGAACCAGCCTACAAAGGTACGATTAGGATCAACCAAAAACTAAATACAAATGGTGGATCGCCGTGCTTGCCACCGCGTTATTTTTGTTGTTGATGTTCTTGATGATGTTGTTCGTGGTGCGACCGCCTGACTTTTACGAATGCATGTTTTGGCCCGCAGCCCCAAAGTATCTTAGCCAGAAACGCGCTAAGCTGCCCAACCATGGTGGAAAGAGTTCGATGGGGCCGCGAACTTCACCCAAACCCATGACCAAGACTGCAGCGCTCCGCGCCAAGGGTCGTTTAGCAGCATCCCCCATGGACTTTTCAGGCCACCGTAACTCAACAACCAACGATAGCCATCCGGCTACCCCTGCAGTACCCAACACGCTGACGCCAGGGTCGGAGCCATTGGCACATGATTCCACTTTGGCCAAGCCATTGTCGGTCACCTCAGGCGCGTCGGATTCGCTCACCCCTGTACCAGGCCCACAAGCGTTTGTACCGCCACAACCTGCGCCCCCGCTGACCACACAAGCATCTGCAGACCAGGGCATGTCATCTTTCCACCAGTCCATCCGTGCAGGCACGATGGACTCGGCCCCTCCCGTTGTGGACACAACGGAGGCATCTCCCTACAACCCGCATGCCTGCTTGGATGGCACCGGTGCCGGTATCGAGGACGGACTCGGTGGTCCGCGTGCCAAGAGCGCGGATGCATGTGCCCTCAACTTTGCTACATCCTTGATCCAGCACCCAGCCCTGTTTGGCCCCATGCACGATCATGGCAGAGTGTCCGCTGATGCTCTCTCTGACACTCACTCGGTTGACCCCCTTATTCCCTCTTGTTATCGCGCAGACCCTTCCTATATTCCGGTACGTTCACCTCTTCAGCCTAGTTCTCGAATCCCCTTTCTGCAGCAGCTAAAAAAGCCCCATCGTGCATCCGCTGTTGATTTGATACGCAGGCCTCGCACTTGAGCCGGGTGGTTCATGCCAGCTATATCGCTCGGCAAGCCAGCTTGCTCCCCACCAACGCAGTGCCAACAGGAATGGCAGCAACCGCGGCAAGCAAAAGTACCGCGTGTGATAATCTCAAGCCGTCCCCTGTTGCGTGGCGACTCAGCAGGGGATATGCATTGTGTGCCAAGCCTGTTTCGCGGCGTGCGCGTCACCTTGCCAAACGGTCGCAGCAACAAAGCCAGTTGGCCGTGCAGGCACCGCGCGTGAAGGTTGAAGCAGTTGAGCTGGACCGAATCTCAGGCGTCCACAGCCACTCTGGAATGCAGCGTTTGATTGATCCTTTCTTTCTCGAATTGTACCCTCCTCGCCCACCCCCAACCATCGCCAACGTATCCTCACGCGTCTGGCGCCAAACTCAGCGCATGGCCATGCATGGGGCTCAGAAGGCGCTGGCGCCACTTGAGAGCGTGGACAGCGCTGTCTTTGAGGGCACCTCCGTGCAGCCCTTGGATGATCCTGACGTTGTGACCAAGCACCCCATTTTCGACCATATCCAAGTCTCTGCCTCCGCCTTACCCTTGCTGGGTCGGATGGGGTGCCACCCCATCGCCCCTCCCTGCAACCTACGATCCTTGGTGGTAGTTGACGCGCACATGGAAAGCCTGGCCACACAGCAGCTCATGGAGACGCTTTCAAATGCCGCAGGGCAGTACAAGCAGGGTGGTCATGGCTCATGGGAGCTCTTGGACGACGCCATCTTGACCCTCTCTCCCGAGGCCAGCCAAGACCCAAGCGACGCTGTGACCGAGCTTCGTGCTCGCGTTCAGGCCGAGGTGGCTTCTTGGGATAATGTGGACCCTGACACCTTCCATCTCCTGATCATCTCCTGTGTGCCACACTTAAACCTGGGTCAAGCCCTGCAGGGGACAGCTGCGCCTGTCATGCCACAAAACCTGCATCTTGTACCCCAGCCCTTCTTGTTGAAGCCTCGCTATCAGCGCGGCGTACTGCGCATGAGTGAGCTGGAGACGCTTTGTCAGGAGCTGTACGCCACGCTGGGACGACGCTCAGGCACTTCTAACGGTGCCATGACGACTGTCATCAGCAATCGCCAATTCTCTTTGGCTTCACTCATGAATGATCGCACCGAGTTGTGTGCCGTGGACGGACGACTCAAGTTTTTGCCTCGCTTGCGCGTGCTGCACGTGGCCATTGATATCAGACCCAACGAGGACGGGTGTGTTTGTGTGTACACAGACGCCAAGGCAACTTTTACAGAGCATGTCAAGCTTGGGGCCGGCCACCGAACTCCAGAGGCCATCGCCCATGACGTCATTGCGCGCTGCGGCCATGTGGTGCAGCTGAGCCGACTCCACTGGCACATTGTAGCAGTTGTGACGGCACGAAGCCAGCACCTTGCTCCTGCTCTGCGTGCTGCATTTCACCTGGAACAGTGGCAGGACGAGAACCATTCCATTTTGAGTTTGACATGTTTGGTGCAAGATCCACATGGCAGCCTGTGTCATCCGGACACTCGTGCAGAGGCACATTCAAGAGTTTTGCCCTGCTTGCCATCAGAGCAGCTTCCTGCCGGCATTGGTATAGAGACTGGCGTTGGAGACGAGCGAGTTCTGGTCTTGGCGCGTTTGGGTGTGCAAATGCGCTATCGCTTGCTCTTTTGCAAGCGGGCAGAAGGAAACGGTGCGCAGGCACGGCACTCCCCCATGGACGACGATGAGTCAACTATGCTCCACTTTGTGGCTCAACAATTCTACAACCTCGGCGCATTAACCACCGCCCCTGGCTCAAGCACCGCGTCTGGCGCTCTGGTGCCCTTTCACCTGTTTGAGGCTTCGAGCATCTAACCGTCGTGTCTGCGTGCCCCCATTCTTTTCTTGTCCATGCCCAGGTCGTGACGGTCGAGCTAGAATGTTTCACAAACAAATTGAATTCAGAACTACATGTAATCAACGCGGCTCTTGATGCTCCTTCCTGGTTGTGCCATTGGCTCGTTTCTCAAGTCTTTTCGTTCAGCGGACACTTATCTGACATTTTTAAGGCAAGAAGTGCGCATGGAAAAGTGAGGAGACTGAGAGACTGGGAGACTCATCTCATCCAACTTCACAATTTGATCGAGACGCGCGCAGCTCTGCATCCGGTCGGCTCCTCTTCGACTCCATTCTCGTCATCGTTGAGCAGAGCAGGCGTTGTGCTAGCTGCCGCGGAAAAGGCCAAAGGCGCGTCCTGCCTCGGAGTGCAGGCCCCGGTGTGAAACCGAGTATTCCGTCAATACGCAAGTGAGGCGTACACGTTGTTTGCTGAAGGTTTGTTTGGTAACAAAAAAAAAAAATCCGATGGCCGCCCATACTCGTCTTGTGCGGGCAAGGAGCATGCGGCAGCGATGATTGGCCGCGCATGCTTTTCTACGCGCCTGAGCTGCCTGCAGCCACCGATACCTTTTTGATTGATCTGCCTACAATCCCTCTTGTGTTGTGTGCCGAGCGTGCATTCGTGTGGTGGGATTTTGCTTCCCTTGTGCCACCAAGCTTTGCTTTTGCACCCGCTCTCTCTCTCCTCTCTCTGTCTCTCTTTCTCGCAAACGCTCCCTCGCACCCCCTCTGCCGGTCTATATGTGAATTCCATTTGTGTTGCCTCACGTACATCCGGATCGGTCACTGCACAGGACTTTGGTTTGCCTCGTGCTTTCTGATTTGGCAAGCACAGCCGTTTAGCTGCCTTCCCCCCCCGACTTCTGCTTGTCTGCGATGCGCTGGGAGTGACGGGCCAAAACAGCGTGTTTCCCGACACGATGGGATCTTGGTTTAGCAATCTCTTCAATCTCTGGGGTCGTGATGGCAAAGGTCAGTTTGGCAAGGATACGCCGCCGAGACAACTTGATAAATCACCCCGCTCCCTGTGTCGGGCGTGGTATTCAGCTCGCCTGATTCCTGTCGGTTTGCAGAGCACAAGCTGATCATCGTTGGTCTTGACAACGCTGGCAAGACCACCATTCTCTATCAGTAGTACGTTCAGCAAGACAGCTCTGGGGACAGGCTAGCTGCTGGTTCTGCCCTCGTCACAGATTCTCGCTTCGCCCAGCCCCGAGCTTTCGTCGGCGCCTCACACTTGCTCGTGTGCCTACAGCCTCTTGAATGATGTCGTGGTCACTTCTCCCACCATCGGCAGCAATGTGGAGGAGGTTTGTCATTTGAATTCTCCTCAAGTGGCTCTTTGCTCCGCCCTCTTCAATCTCATGGAACACACGCTGAGCACCAATAGATTCAATTCAAGAATCTCAAATTCCTCATGTGGGATGTGGGTGGCCAAGAGAGCCTGAGGTCCTCATGGTCAACATATTACAATGCCGTCGAGGTTTGTCACAGGATTTTGACAACCGGTCGGCCGTGTTCTTCTAGCGCGTGGTGTTCTCAATCTCGGCTCGAACGGCTTGAACAAATTGCCAACGCCACGTGACCACACCAATGTGGCGATGTAGGCAGTGCTTTTGGTGATCGATTCAACAGACCGCGAGCGATTGACTCTCATCAAAGAAGAATTGTACACCATGCTTGCGCATGACGATCTCAAGTCGGCACGCTTATTGGTCCTGGCCAACAAGCAAGATCTCAAGGTTTGTACGCGTAGCTTTCGAGGCCTTTTGCTTCCCACGAACTCCACCTCCAACTCATGTCTCCCGTCATCCTTTTCTAGGGCGCCATGTCAGCCGCGGAAATCTCGAAACAGTTCAACCTGACCTCGATCAAAGACCATAGCTGGCACATTCAGGCCTGTTGTGCACTGACTGGTGAAGGCCTGTACGAGGGCATGGAGTGGCTGACGGATGAAATGACTCGAAAGCACTAATCTCTTTCTTGTTTTCTTTGGTGAAGTTGTTTCCACTCCATCACTGTGAACTCTCAATCGCCTTTCGACAGTCACCGATCATCCGACGCCCTGCCCGCGCGCTCCCCCTCTTACTTATGCTGTGCCTTCCCACTGCCTTTTCCGCATCGGAGCATAGCCTGTTTTTTTTCTCCCTCTCTCTCTCTTCTTTTCAGACATTCATAGTCCTCGCGATGTAGCGCCTGCTCCAATCTTGGGTTGCTGGCATGTGCCAATTTATCATCCCTAGGATCTTGATGGCTCAATTGTTACCGGGCTTGCTTGGACGAACAACGACAGAAGAGCGTCAGGGGGTGAGACAGGGCACCGTCGTGCTCTTACACGAACGATTCAATCTCGCTCAAGCTGTTGTCCGAATCTGACTCGGAGTCAGTGTCGATGTCTGAATCCGCGTTCAAGCCCCAGCCCGCGTCGATTGCCTCAGCATGTAGATCCACACTGTCCACACCAGAGCCTGATGTCTTTTCTACGCTTGCCTGACTGGAGAGGCTCTGCAGGTCGGCTGCTTGGTTTGCCTCGGCCGTAGCATCCGGCTCCAGAAACATGGTCTCGTGTTCAGTTTGCACTGAACCTGAGGATTTGAACTGGTCAGAAGTAGAAATACCGTCTGTTGATGTCACGAGGATCACGGGGCAAGCCGTAGGCAAGGGCCTTGCAGCCGCCAGGTCGAGGCCGCCCCCGTGCTCAGCCAAAGCTTCGTGCATGGCCTTGGCAACAAAGGCGCTAGCAAGCGCTTTGATCCGTGCAGAGGCAGCGCCTTTAGCGTCTTCAGCGCCGTCCAGGTCTGGCGATCCTGAAAATGGTCGGGATGATGCCTCGGGTGATTCGAGTAGCACAAGGGACGAGGCGCGAAATGGAGAAGGCTGGCGGGGTTCTGGCAATAAAGAACTGCTGCTCGAGCGTCGCGTCCGTCCACGCGATTTAACTGCAGCGGGGCTGCGTTGGTCATGGTAGTCAAGGCCCTGAATGTCTGCAACCAGGTCAAAAAGCTGCGCCAAGGATTCGGCACCGGTCGCTTCGCTCTGAGCACGATCCCTTGCCGGTGTGCTATGTCGCCGATTTCCACCAAACGGCCACAGTCGGCTACCCTGGCGTGCAGGGGAGGCGGTCGTCACGGAAGCGCGAGGTTGATGTCCCGGGGAGAAGCGAGCCGGGTCTAGCTGATCGTGCTGGGAGCCCTCGGAAGAAAGTGAAAAGGTGGTTGACATGGAAGCCCGCATCCCCTCGGCCCGCACGAGGGTTCGAGGCGAGCAGACGTAAGACTTGGGTAGCAAGCCAGTGCGCCGGCGCGTCTTGCGATGATGGCGACGCAGAATGGAGAAAAGATCTTCATCATCGGTGCGAGACTTGTTGCCGGCAGTGCTGCTTCGGCGGCGCCCATCGCCAAGATTGAGACCGAGCACCTCACGCAGCCGGGACGGTGAGTGGCGGCGGGTAGCAATGGGCGAGCTGGAAAGAGACCGATTTGCCGCATCCTTTCTGTGCGGTGAAGAAGGCTCGCGAGCAGGAAGAGTCGTTGTCTCGGCCATGGGCTCGGCGAGCAAGGACTCGAACGAAAAGGCCTGCCATACCATCAATCAGTTTTGGTTGAGGGCGAACATGCATTTTTTTTTTGTTTTTGTTTTCTTTTACCGTGACCATCAAGTCAATAGAACAAGCCACATGCATGCACACAAATAGAAGAAGAGACAAGGAAGGGGCCGGCTCAACGTACAGGTGTGCCAGAGGAAGAGGCATCGGAAAAGACTGAGCCACGGCCCGATGGTAACGCATCTGAGTCAAAGGCCGCTGTTTGGCCATCAACGTCCTGATCCTCTCTTTGCACGAGATCAAACCACGGGTCACGCAGCAGAGCTGAGTAGGAGCACAAGCGCTTGCTCGGTTCGTCGGTCAAAAGCTACCGAGAAAGCACAGACCAAATTTGAGCACAGGCACAAACTGCTTCTACAGCTCGTGCACAAGCATAATTGCGCGGATGCAGCTGAGTTCTGGCAACAACATACTCGTTGGATGAGAGCCCGGCCGGCCGGGGAAACGGGTCGCTTGAACTGTAGTTCCGTTTCACGGATGCGACGCAACATAATGTTTCGGTCATTGGCGCTGCGATCAAATTGCAGACGCTCAATCCCCTAGAGCAAACGTGCGCAGAGAATAAGTTTTTTTAGTTTTTTTTCTGTTCTGTTCTGTTCTGTTCCGGTCGTGCCAATAATTGGGCGCAGATGCAAGCGAGTCAAAAACGTACTTGGCCATAGGGGTATTTGCCCACCATGAGCACAAACAAAACAACACCCAAGCACCACCAATCAACTCGATAATTGTATGGCATACCAGCCAGCACTTCCGTACTCATGTACTGGATTGTGCCGCAGATGGTCTTTGTTTTTCCGTTGCGAGAGTGCACGTCCTTGGCCAATCCAAAGTCGGTGAGCAGCACCGAATCAGTTGCCTCGTTAAGGAGCAGGTTTTCCAGCTTGAGATCCCGATAGATAATGTGCTTGTGGTGAACGTAGTCCAACCCCTATCCATGACAACATTCGTGAGCACAAGGCTAACGGCCAGCCGAAAGTCGCCCAGGACCAGGCGGTAAAGCCGACTCGCAGCAGCAACACAAACAGGGTGACGGCTGCAAGAAAGCTGGTCAAATGACATGAAAAGTAAACCAAAGCTTACACGAGCGATTTGAGCAATGTAGCGAGCAGCACGTGGAGGAGGCACCACTTTGTGTGCTCGGACAATTTCGAACAAGTCTGTGCCTGGCACGAGCTGAAGCAGCATGTATAGGTCGGTGGCTGACGTCCAGGTCGCCAACAGGCCGACTATGTGTGGGTGTTGACCGAGCTTGCGCTAGATAGGCAGGAGCACGATGGAATCAAGGGAACCATCGTAGGTGGGCGGCTTGGACATGTGGCGATGCTCAAGACCTACCATGATGTGCTTCTCAGCTTCAAGCTGATCAATCATATCGAGGCGCTGCATCTCTGCCCAGTCCAGAACCTTGAGGGCAAACCGCTCTTGCGTCTGTTTGTGCGCCACTTCGAACACCTGTAAAAACGTTGTGCCGCAAGTTATTGGATAGTCGAACGGCAGAGGACCAAGAAGCCCATGTGAGTTGGTCAATTTGGGAAAACTGCATACGGCTCCTGGCACAGCAGCATCTCTCCCGCCCCGTAGTCACCATGGGCACACCTTGCCAAAAGAGCCAGTGCCAAGCACGGCGATGGTATCAAACTCATCAGCGCTTTGAAAAGTATGTGCACCCAAACGTCGACGTCGAAACAGAGAGCGCTGCTTCCGCGATGTCGTTCCAGAGCGTCCCCGCGACGCGGGCTTGGATGATCCCGCGGCTGGGCTTTGCCCCGGACTGGCTGCCGCCATGGCCTTGCTTGCGACCGCTTGGGCCATCATGCAACCCCTACTTCGGTGACCCCCCCGCCACGCCCCCCTCAGCGGCACCACAGGCCAAGCCCGTCGCTCGAGCCCAAACAAAATGCACAGAGAGAGAGAGAGAGAGATGGTCGGTTTGAGAAGTAAAGAGCAAAGACACAAAGGAAAAGCACAACAAGACAACAAGAGAGAGAGAGAGAGAGAGAGAGAGAGAGAGAGAGAGAGAGAGAGAGAGAGAGAGAGAGAGAGAGAGAGAGAAGAAAAAGAGAGAGATGGAGTGTCTGAGAGAGAAGAAGAAAGAAAGAGAGAGAGATGGGATGTCAGAGGAAAGGATCAAAAGTCTGACATTCAGTCTTTTGAACCGTTTTTTTTCGGGGGGGCTTCTCTTCGTCCTCGTCCTCGTCCTCCTCGTCCTCGCCTTGACCCCCGTCCTCGCCCTTATTCTCGCATCAATTGTGGAGAAGGTGCATAAAGTTTGCGGGCAGAGAGCTTGCAGGCCCGTTCTCATCCTGGATCTGGATCGTGTATGTTCGTTGGAGCAAGAGCCTGGTCAGCGCTTGCGCAAATGCCACGACGAAGCGAAGGCCGCAAGGCGGCGGTGGGTGGTGCCACTGCCGCAACTGCCCCCACTTCCACTGGTGGTGCCATTGCAGCTGTGGCCCATGACCCGCAACGTGCCTATTTGGCCCTCATGCAACGGCGCAGCGAAATTGAGGTGCGGGTGGTGCTATATGAGCGAGCGATCGAGTGAATGACAATGAACCCTGCTTGTGTCTCACGGTTGCTCTCCTTTGTCATTTTTTTGCGGTGGCAGCGAGATCTGCGTGAAATTCACAGTCAGGTGTGTTCCTGCGCGTAGTTGATATCCTTGCTGCTACCCGCACGCACTGCGTACCCTGCCGCATCTCACAGCTGGTGGTTTGGCTAGATTGTCAACTATGAACACTCGTATCTGAATGAATCCACCTTTGGAAACGCCGTGATTGGCTGGGAAGCCCTCAAAGCGTAAGGCGTCTCCGAGCCCCGGCTTTGCTTGGTGGCCATGGGAACAATCGCGAGGATGAACAAAAGGAATGCACCTGCCCTGCTTCTAGGTCGAGCCACGATAAAGCCCCTGTCAAGCCCAAAGTCAAGCCAGAGCACCACATCTTTTCTCGCTCGTCAGTTTGGTCAGAACTGGTATGTGTCAAGTCATGCTCCTCCCAAGCGCCGCTGTGGCACGTTGATCATCTGCTGTCGTTTTGCAAGACATCCTCTAAAAACCTGCGGCCACTTGCTTTTTTTGCGTGTACGTTGGCACACCGCTCTGTTGATCACGCAGCCGGCCGTACCACTCTTGCCCAACGTGGCTCCCGCCACCCTCAGCGGTCCACATGAGCTCATGCCCAAGACTGAAGTGACTGACATCGATACTGAAAGGAAGAACACACCCGAGGCGGCAATCGCAACGTCAAACACGCCACGAAGCAAGCGTGGCCCGTCCCAGGGCGAAGCAAGTGCAACAGGTCGGTCAGCGAGCACTCACCAATATCGGGACGACCCTTGACCTGTACTGAGTCTTCTCTTTCTATCTCATATCCTGACTTGTTTCACTTTGCAAAAAGGTGCCAAGCAAGCCAAACAGGCGAAACACTGATGTAGACTTTTAGTTGAAGTACTAGATAAATGAATTCATCGTGGTTTTTAAAGGCGCATCTTTGCATTTGCTGACGCTCGACTCCCCGCCGGCCATTTCCCGTGCTCGGATCAACAGAAAAGGTGCGAGAAAGAAAGGCGCAGGCTCAATTGCAGTGTGCTTTGTAACAGGATATCGCCACGCGCAACACATGGACATGTGCTAGGCGCGACCAGGAGTGGAAGATGTAATGCGTTGGCTCGTCTACTCTTGACAAGCACCATTGAATCGTTTCGAGAGCGATCTGCACGAGAACAGGAAAACAAACTTGCTCGGTACCCTTGCAAAGCGTGATGATGTGACTGGAACTGTGAAACTTAGTGCAAAGCAAAGGAAACACCCATACCAATGGCCATGGCAACGTAATAGACAACATTCATGATGGTCGAGGCGCGGGTGCGAGCCGGCTTGCTGCGAAACTTATCCGAGGCTAGAGAGAAAGAAAGTGAGAAGATGATGCCTGCTAGCCACATCTGGACACTGTTGATGGCAAGTAGGACGTAGTCGTTGGTACCAATGATGCCATTGATTGCCATCACGGCAAAGGGGACCAGGGCCAGGCGCAAGGCGGCCAGGATCAAGATGCGAGATGGGGTGAAGAGGCGCCGAAACGGTAGCCAAGAAGTCATGACCACGCCGAGGGAGGTGCAGATGTAGTAGTCATACATGAGAATCGTGGGCAGATTCTCAAAGTGTGTGGGCTTAAAGTCAATGTACAAGGCGGCCAAGAGGGTGGAACAGATGGTGACCAGCACCTGGGTCAAAGACTCTTGCCAAAGAAGGCGCAGGTAATCACGAAGATGCAGGCTAAGCTCATCAAACACGGCCTTACGGGCCACGCTCAAGTTGAGTTGCGCGCCCGTACTATCCTCAAGATTGTCTTGTTCAACCGGAATGACGAAGCGGTGGTGACTGCGCGCACGCAATTCAGCGTCCTTGCGATCAAAGAGCAACCTGGATTTGGGGTAGCGCACAACGCCCAGAAAGCTCAGTACACCCGCAATTGACAGAGCCACGCCGACCGTGTAGTAGATATCGATGCTATCCCAACGCAAGCTCCACACGCCGTTGTTCTGAAGAGAACAAGCGTACATGCAGAACACGTGCATGCCCGCACGAGAACAAAGGTTAGACCGAGACGGATACACACAGCATCGGAGCGAGCGATATTCGGGTCACTTGCCTTCTCGCAAAGGTTCCCGACGGCAATGTTCACGGGGGCAAAAACGAAAAACGGCGCGTAGGTACCAAAGAAGAAGAGGGGATGGAGCTCGGGTGGAAACATGGAGACAATCTGAGTGTAAGTGCCAAAGGAGACGGAGATGCCCAGGCCCATGATGCTCAGCAGGAAGTATACGAAAGGCGCGGAGGATTGCAGGTTGGTGTTGACACGCGTCATGATGACCAGGACAATCAGGGCTGTCAAGGAAACTGACACCCGGGGGCAGCAAGGGGAGAGGTAGCAATAATGGAGAAGAGCGAGTGAGTTTGTCGCCCAATCAGAGGTAGAAACAACACAAGTGCGGCAGCGTGGCCTCGTGCAACCGCAAAAACATACCGAGATAAGCCAGCATAATGCGCCAGGTGGCGGAGCGCGCTGTTCCAAAGTGCTGATCAAGGCGTGCATCAAACTTGGATTGGAGCATTTGAACCAGAATGCCTGGCATAAAGATGGAGATACTGGCAAGTGCATAAAAGTATTCACCGAGACCGAAGCATTCAGCGTACATCTGCGTCTGCATGAGTACAACCTCGCTGCGGGCAAAGGTGCTGACGCCACACAGGAAAAAGAGGAAGCGCAGGGTCCAGCTGACGGTGGTGTGTTGCACAAGAAGCTCGTAACGATCCTCGCTATCATCCTTGTTAGTGTGGTCGAAGTTGAGGCTCAGGGTATTGGAAGGCCGATGGCCACCACCGACACGGCCATCGTAGCGCGACGAGCGATTGTCTTGCCCGTCGATGGATGGGGCAGAAAGCAGCGGTTGATAGGCCGCCGCTTTTCGGCCACCCATGCTGGGCGGACGCAAATACAATCGAGTGCTTCGCCTAGACGGCTGAGCGAGCGCGGACCAGCGCGGGCGCGCAAGAGAAAAGGCTGTGCGCGCCCACGGTCAAGCTTGCGTCGAATGCCGTGGTGAGAACGTCGACTTCCAACAATGGCAAGAATGGCGTCGCTGTGTAGATACGGGTGGCCGAGGGGCTGGCGCCGATCAGACACCCCCAAGCTGCTGATGGGCCTTCAGAATTCACAATTGCCTCCTTGTCCAGAAAAGGTTCAATCAGGACCAGGACTCGTGTGCTGCCCAGCCCTGCGAAGCGTGTTTTGTGGGGGCGCCGAACCAACCGTCAAAATGGAACACGCGAATTGGTGAAGTTGAAGTAAATAGATCATGCGCTTGCCCTTGGCGACAGTATCAGTGAACCGGGGCCGAGTATCGGGGCACGGGCCACAGCCAGTCGGAGGAAATTGGGAATTGGAGGACAAGGGGGCAGAGAGCAGAGATGGGCTATAGAGATGGGCAACGGTGACTGGTAAATTGGAGAGAGAGGGTTGATGGGGTGTGGTAGTGGAAGAGAATTTAATGTCAGCCGCAAACTTAAAAGGGGTAAATCATGGTAAAACCAGAGGTTTGGGGTCAATGATTGTCAGAAGTGAGAGAGGGGTCGAGGTTGACGTGCAAACGCAGAGAGAAAGAAAGAGCTGAAAATTAAAAATTCTTCCTGAACATACATGTGTGTGATGTTGTCACGAAGACGTGATGCTTCGTCTTGATCTTGAATTGAAAAGAAGAATCAGGTCCTGGCAATGATAATGTGGACGTGGTTCAGAACCAGGCTGGAGACCAAGCCAAGAGGCGAGCTTGCCAGCGCATGGTTCCTCCACCACAACCCTCCCTGCAGACAGCCAGCGAAAGCTGCCGCTGCCTTTCCCAGGAAAGGAAAAGAAGGAGCGAGAGGCTCCATCGAAGAGAGAGGGCATCATGCTGGCGGATGTCAGAATGTCAGATAAGTTCTCTTGGGGTGAGATGTCAGATAAAGTTTGGTGCTTTAAGGGCTTTTTTTTTTTTTTTTCTGAAGTGTGTGTATGTGTGTGTTGGGTACAAATGGCAGTCGCAGCAGTCTGGCGAAGCTCGTCTGATCGGACCGGTTGCTGTTTTTGTGGGGGAGGGGGTGGCGGGGGGTGATGGATTTGAAACATGAAGGAGAAAAGCGTGGCATGAACTCTGTCTGCTTTGAGAAACACCTGTTGTTTTTATCCATGGTGGGATGATCCGAGGGCGCGCCCAACTCTGATGCTCGGTGCTTGGACTGCTTGGACTGCAGATCCTGCAACTACACGACAAGACAAGATGGCGTCCGAGGGCGGTACGCTGAAGATTACGCTGCTAGCAGGCCGCGACTTGTTGGCCATGGACCGCAACGGGTACTCCGATCCATTTGTCGAATTTTCTTGCCCACAGGCAGACCCTCCCAAGGTGGGCAGCGCGGGCTGAGCGCCCGCTCGACGACTGTGCGCTTTGCAACCAGCGCATCCCGCAACTTGACACTCGCCAAATGATGCTCTGCACATTTGTATCCCAGGTCCGATCCAAAACCCAGATGAAGACCCTCAACCCTGACTTTAATGAAGTGCTCTGCCTCAACGCTCCCCGGGATGGCATTGTCAAGGTTGTCGTCTACGATTGGGACCGGTGCGCTCATGCCTTGTTCTCCTAAGGCACGCGGCAATGGCGCCGGCGTTGTATAACAACAATTCGTCTCTGACCTGTCTTGCTTTCCTGCCTCCATGTCTTTGCTGCCCCTGATCATGATGGCCAGTTTCTCTAAGAATGACCTTTGCGGTGTTGCCACCATCAATCTGGACGAGCTGGATCTGAGCTCCCAGCGCTACAAACTCGATCTGCCTCTGACGTATCCCGAGACCAATGAACACGCTGGTAGGAGCTAGTGCGACTCAAAGCAAGAACGAGAAAAATGATCGGCTGGCCTACAAGCCAGTTTTTGCCTGGACCCAGACCGGACAACGACTCACCTTTCGTGTGATGCAGGTTACCTCTTCATGACGTTGCAGTACAGCGATGGCAAGGGCCTCTTTGGATTACCTTTGAGCGCCGCCTGCGAGCGCGAAGGCTCAGACGTACCCTCTATCATTACGCAGTGCACCCAGATCCTGGATGACTGCAATGCCGCCAACCTTGGTACAGGCAACATGTTGGCCGTCTTGTTTACACTAGTCTTGTTGTTCTGGGCCTTTCAATCCCGCTCCTCTCATGCTTGTGCATACCTTAGAGGGCATCTACCGCATCTCCGGCGATGCACGCAGTCTTACCATTATGCACGAGCGCTTAAACGCTGACCCGCTCTACCGTCAAGTTGGTTGCTCACCTCAGGCTACCCCTTGTTCTGTCGGCGCACAATGATCTCCATGCACACGTCGCACCCTCAGATCTCCCGGATCAACCCTTGTTTCCCGTGCAGATCCCGGCCAACACAGACATGGACCTTTACACCGTGGCTGCTCTCCTCAAGCGCTACCTTGCTGCCCTGCCCGAACCCCTCTTCACCAAATTTCTGTACGTCGCAGGTCGCAGTCTCTGGGCGCACGAATGGACGCGTTCTCTTGACTGGCCTTCTTCTTTTGTGCGTGCGTCCACACGTGCGCGTGTGTGCGTACCTTAGCTACCCTGAGATCATTGAGGCTGTCAAGGAGAAGGACGAGGAGGCCATCGTTGATCGCTTGTGTGCAATCATGGTCCGGGTGCCTCCACACCACCGCGATTGTGCCCACTTGCTCTTGTCCCACTGGCGGCGCGTACGTGTTCCACATGCCGTACCTGCAGAACTTGCCATGCTCCCCAAGCGCTGAGCCCTTTGCCGCCTGATTTCGTGGTGCCCATTTGGTAGATTACGGCCAAATCGGCCATCAATAAGATGACGCCCACCAACCTGGCCGTGTGTTTGGCCCCCACCATCCTGGCCCCGAATGCAGGCAACGAACCTGCTGCCATGATGGCTGCTCTGAAAAACTCTGGGTGCGTACTTTCTCATGCCCGTCGATCCTGGCGCTCGCCTTGAACAAACATCGTAGCCCATGCTGTCCACGCCTCAAGTTCTTTTTTTAAACCGCTTGTTCTCACGATGAACCAACGTGCGCTCCCCAGCCTTGACACAAAGGCAGTCACGTACATGCTAACACACGATCGAATCGTGGAAGCTCTGAGCTCTGTCCGCTATACCCCGGCGGTCAAAGTTCCCCTGTTCCGCGGCCGGAGCGTCCGTGGTCACGTCCACGACGTACTATATGGTCTCTTCATGCAGCATGCGCTCGATGGCGAATTCCTGACGATGGAGGAGTTTCGCAAAGCTGTTTATGAACTGGTGCGTCGAGACGAGTGTTCTCACGCCTACCCTGGACCCATATTCTGCTGCAAGTCAATCCAACGCTGACCTTCTACCCCCATGTCCAACCCCTGGCTTCCTTCAGGGCCTGGTGTGGTCATACGAGCTTGAGGACACCTACGACTCCATGGCAACGGGCATGCCTGGGGTGGATCTTGCCTCTTTTGAAAAGTGCGATGCCTCTGACAATGCGTTTAAACTGACCGTCTGCCCATGTCGTACAGCTTACTCCATGCGCTGTGTTTTTATACAGCTGGTGCGTTCGCAGCAGCCTCGTGACCTCGTATGCGCAGGCGCAAATCTTGCGCACCACTGCTGCGCTCTTCAAGGTGACTTCAAGAAGGCCCGCTTGATCAAAACTCACGCACACCGCATAACTCGGGCCATTTTTCGCCCAGCTTGGTCCCACTTGCCTGTGCCTCACGATGCATCTGACCCCCCGGTAGCGCTTTGACACGGATGAAAATGGTACCCTGAGTGAGGATGAATTTGTGCCTCTCTACGAGTTTCTGTCTGGGCAATATCCCGATCTGTCATCCTCTTCAGCCCACGAAACCTTTTCCCGTCTCTGCGATCCCACACACAAAGTTATTACGTAAGCTCTCTTTGCTGCATGCCAAAGAGAAGCACGCCCAGTGTGCAAACGCAACAAAATGGCTTGGCCCCTTCTCTTTCTCCTCTCCTCCCTCCTCTCGCCTCTCTCTTCCCTCCCTCTCCCTCTTTTGCCCAGAAGGTATTTGTGACTCATGTCGTCTTTAACTCCTGATGGACTGGCAACAGATTGTCCAATTTTGCAGCTTGGACCACGCGTCAGACAAGAGCCTAAAAAGTGGTTCGGCTGCCTGATGTGTGGTTTTTGTTTTTGTTTTTTTGTTTTTTTGTTTTTTTCTTCTTCTACTTTTTGCCGCCTTTAGCAGCCTTGCCTGTCGTCTTGGACGCCGCCATGACCTTGATTTTGCCCGGGACGGAGCGGAAGAGTTCCAGGTCCTTGATGGCCTTGATCACATCAACCTCCGCAGAAGACGCCCCAGTCTCCGTGCAAAAGTGGTGAATCAGGGATCGAATAGCTACCAAGCAGAAATGTGGCGTGAGGTTCATGTTAGTAGCACGACATAGTATGCCAACGTGGTCCGTATTTAAGCAAGCACGCTCATGGCTGACTGGGCACGATCTTCCTCAATTTATATTTATTCTTGGTGGCATGATCGAGGGCCCTCCTGCACATCGTCGTACCTTTGCCCTTCTTCTGCTCGCCGGGAACGATCTTGGCCTTGAAGCGATATTGCCGCACCGCGCCATATGGTGCAACCACGGGCAGGGCAAACATCAGCTCGTCGTCAGGATGAGGCAAGCCTGTGAGGGCGTCCAAGTAGGTCAGCTGATCCTGCACGTTGGCATAGAAAACAGAAGATGAGTTTCAGGCACTGTCATGCACCCATGCAAGGGTTCTATGCAAAGTCACAAGGGGTGCCAGAACAAACCCTCTCGTCCTCTTCAAGCTGTGAGATGTTTTCGTCTTCCAGCAGTCGGCGAATCTCCTCCTGAAACCAAGTTATCCCAGAGAATCAAATCGCGAACAAAAAAGCCTTAGTCGCACAAAGGAAAGCAAAAGCCGTGGCCCTTCGCCTAATTGGCATGCCGCAGCAGCTGCTGCTACTACTACTGATACTTTCATGACCACGCGAAAGGTCTCGGCGAAAAGCACAAGCAGATGTACTTTACCTCTTCCTGGGCTTGAATCTGCTCATCAATCTTCTCTTGCTTCGATGTCTGCTCAGTGGTCACCAGACCCACTGACTCGGCTGTGGCCATGATGCGATCTGTGACAGAGCTGATTTGCTGCAGCACAGCCTCAGAAGGCTGATCCTTGCCCTGGGCACCTACAGACGGATCGAGATTTTCGTTTCACAATCGCAACAAAAGCATATCGCAGTTAGCGATGGCTGGATGCGGTATATGAGAGGCAAAGGTCGGATGCGGTCACGAGACCTTGGACATCACGCGTTGCCTGCTGCTTGGCGGCAAGCTTTTCCTTGCGACGCGCCCGCTTATCAGCGCGGCTCAGCTGTGGGCCAGCAGACCCCAAAAGATCGAGACGCAGTTGACGTTCGTCTTCATCCTGCAAGCACATAACGCCAAAATCGTGCAAGGCACGGTAAGCCACACAATCCGACATGCGCGGCGACGACTAACCCTAGAACCATGACAACAGCACATCAAGCAAATGTTCATTCAACCAGCTGACCTGCTCGGCATATTTTTGCTGTTTCTTCTTCTTCTTGCCACGCTTCCCGCGCACCGCGGGCTGTTGGGCGTGTTCGTTGCGCTGATCATCCTCGCCTTCGCTGTCTTCTCCACTCTCCTCTGCGTCTACGGCTGGAGAATGCTCCGGTACCCCAGCTGGTTCGGCAATGTCAACCCCAGTCAGCTCTTGCAGCTCCGCGGCGGTCAAGCTGCTCATCTGCGCTGGCGTGTAGCCTTTCTTCTTGAGCTGGCGCTTCTGCTTGGCACTCAGTCGCGCCTTGCTTCCCTGCATTCGGCTGCGCACTGCAGTGTCAGCCTCTGATTGGGCGTGGGATACCGTGCGTGAAACGCTGGCGCTCGGCGTGGCTGATGCGTAGTCGACACTAATTTCCGTGTCTGGAAACGCCATGGCCGCCGCTGTGGACATTGCAGAAGAGGATTCAGCCGGGACTTCTGGAGCAACCACAGCAGTACCAGCTGGCTGGCTCTCGGCTTTGTTTTTATTCTGCGTGGCGGTAGAATCCCCTGCCTCGCTTTCAGCAGCAACTGGCGAGGCGTCCCCTGCACCGCTTGAGGACGCCTCGACGGGCTCGGGCGGTCGGGATACGGCGGGAGACGACGCTTCAGAGGCCTCACCCAACCCACGGGGTCGTCGCTCATTGACGTGCCGAGCCACCGAGCCCTCGTCCACCTGAAACCAAAGCACAGTGCTGCGCATGAGCCTGACCAGAGCGTCAACCGATTTCGGTGTGTGTCCCTTTTGCAAAGTGCCAATTCAAACTCATACTAACCTTGAAAAGAATGGCAAAGCCCATGACAAGCTCGACCTTCGGCAGGTAGTTTTTCTTTCCACGGATCATAAAGCTGCCCGTGCTCAAGTACTCGCCGGCTGGTGCTGTCTTGGAAACCTAATTTCATGTGCACATGCAAAAGTTCAAATGCATGAAGCTTAGCACGCCACTACAAACGATCTAGCACAGCAGAATGTGGAGCATACCTGATCATGGTGGACCCACCACGCGCTGGTCGGCATGCGCGCCTCCCAGGAACCGCTGTAAATGACAGCCATGTGGCCGGCCTCTTGGAGCGTGATTGGAGGCACGTCCCCGCCGCGTGGATTCTTGACGATGACGCTAGCTGCACCGTGTAGATCCGCATGTACGTAGACGTCACCTGCATCAAACGGCACAAGACATGAGCGGAGGGAACTGGAAGAAGATCCACTTGTGGTTTTGACTGGGCAGATTGCGTATTGGCCGCATGTCATCCACGGACACGGGCACGGACCTTTCTTCAAGTAACGGCGGACCAGAATCTCGTTCTGCTGCCGGTCCCTTCCGCCAATCACGAGGTAGTTTTCGGAGCTGCAAAAACGAGCGAGCGTTGCGGTCAGAGCAGGTCCCGAACCAAGCCTCGAAATGAGTCTGACAAGCCTGCCATACTCCAGTTGTCCCCTACGCACCTGATGAACCAAAGAAACTTTTCAAACCAATAAATCTTGCGCTGCTTGTTCACCGCGGTGGTCACGTTATTTTCTAAAATGGCAGAATTGATCAGCCACAACCATCGTTGCCAGTAGCATGATACACGGCATGTCGAACGGAATAGCTGGCCATACGCTGAAGTTGTTGCTGCGTCTTGCGCTCGGCTGACTGAATCGCCAGTTCTGTGGCATCGCGCGCCTTTTGCTCCTTGACCGCAGATATCTATGATTGTATTCAATCCATTTCGATGAACCAAGGCCCAGGAGGCAAGCCCCAAGGGTTGGGGCATGGTACTCTGGTCTAACCTTTTTGTGTTGGTACATGTTGCAAGCGTTGGCGTAGGCCGTCAAGGCGAGGTCCAGATCAATGGTCAAGAATGGGTCAGTCGCTGACGATGTACCTAAAATCAATATTGGCACCCAACACAAGCCCATGTCATCAGAATGCGCTCCATGACATGTATGTGATTCCGGTGCATGAGTTGATGTCGAATCGATGATCAAAGCCGAGATCTTACGAGCGGCACCGCGCTTCTTTGATGCAGCAGCAATGGCCTTTTGCTCCTCCTCCTCCTCCTCCTCCTCGCTGTCACTTGCGCTGGACGAATCAGATTCGGAAGACTCGGCATGGGCTTCGGGGCTGTTAGCGTGCCAAAAACATCAATGGTGATCAAGGGTTGTGCATGGCTCAAGAACGAGGCAAACTATCACCTGCCCTTTGAGCGATGCACTGACTTGGGAAGACGGATGGTCATGTGGTTTTTGTCCAGCTTGAGGCCATCGATAATGCGTGCGTCAGGATCGCCCTGCTGCTGTGCCTCCTTCACCAGCTCCGCGATTTCCACCCAGTCCAACTTGTTGGCCACCATGCTGCGAATGATTTCAATGGCACGATCCACCTAAGAGCTCGTCGGGCAAGTGAATACAATGCCGCGCAGAAGATTTGTTGTAGTATGAATCCAAACCCAATGGTTTTGAAACATGCCAAAAGGAGCTTTGGCGATGCAGCGTGCTGCCCTGACCTGCTCAAGGTTCGCCTCGAGCACCTGGGCCTTGCGTTCGTTGGCCTCTTGCGCGAGTCGATAACCTTCCACATGTTTCTCGTGTGAGGCCTTGACAGCCTCGAGCTTCTTAAGAGCGGCAGCCTCCTGCGATTGCCGGTCCATAGTACAAGGTGAGCGCTTGCACCTTGACACACACCAAAAAATAAAATAAAATAAATAAAATAATCAGGGCAAGCCACAACCCCAGGCAAGACGGTCAAGCAAACGACCTGCTGCATGGCGCGCATCTGCAACTTCTGGGTTTCAAGCTCGGAAAAGTATCGATCAATGGCGCGATCAAACGACGGAAGATGAATGTGGGGCCGGTCTTCAAACTGTTTCATCATAAAGGGAATCACGTCATCCAGAACAAGAACTGGGGCTTCGTCGCCTTCCGCCTACGCACCCCCCGCCAAAAAAAAAAAAAAAGTGAATGAGTGAGGGATAACAGTTCACCTTTGGATTTCCAGGTGGCTGCTAGGATGGGAATGCCCGTGTCAACATATGGTGTTTGCCAGCGTCGACTCACCCCGGTACGTTTCGGTCCTTGTTGTTGCAGGATGTAGCCCTAGGTGCAGTCAGAGACAGGCAGTAAGGCGTGGGAACCAGGCGGATTGTGTCAATGGGCAAGTACTGAACGACCGTTGCGCTTACTGAGATATCACCAGCCTTGAGCTTTTCAAAAAGCAAATCCTCAGCTTGCTTCATCGCGGCCAACACGCGATCCAAGTCTAGAGGTCAACAATGCATGGAGTGAACCGTGGTGGCTTATACCCATGCGTTTGAGAAACTTGATACGTCCGGCAAATGCAAGACCAACCATCTGGAATGGCAAGGCCCTTGCCGACTTTGGCATTGTTGGGAAAGCCATGCAGCTGCATGCAGTGCTCAATGGCCTGGGGACCACATTCTGCGACATACCCCCGCAAAAACAAAAAAAAAAAAAAAATCAATGACATGAAATGAAATAAAACAGGCCATCGCAGCCACATTGTCAACCATAATGGCCACTCTGCAAGAATTGCAAACGCAACGATTGGACTGCACCAAGGCTGGTATTGCGTACCCATGATGGGATTCAATGCTTTGCGCGCCGGGTCGCCCTTCTTGCTTGAGGCAAAAGCTGCCTCGAGGCTGATGAAGGCCGCACATGCACAACCCAAGGGGGGAAGAGAGAGGGGGGTGCAGAGTCAGGTGTGTTGAATGAGGTCAGGCGCAGGCCAAGCTTGAACACGCACCGCTCACGAGTGATTGGGGAAGGCTGCTTTGACGCTTCGATTGGGTAGCGCTCCCCAACCGCGAATTTGACATCCTCAGAGTCAGTTCGCCGACGCAACAGGGCCAGAATATTGTAAGTTGATTCTGTCAAGATAATGTTACCCTGCACAGAGCGGCAGCAAGGCAGATTCAAATGCAAAGCAAGGCGGTGAACGTGGAGCCCTTGAGTCTGGCCAAGGCTGCCAGTTGTCGCTACGGTCACGTACCCGATCATACAGCTCGATAATGAGATGATATGCAGCTTCATCACTGCCAAAAGTAAGGTCTATGACGCGGTCGACGCCAAGCTGCTTCATGTCCGTCAGGCGGCGCGTGCGCAAATGCTTGCGGCACTGTGGTACCAAGGGACATGAGAAGCCACTGAGTGAGAGGGGCTTGTGACCGTGGGTTTACAAATTCTAAAGCAGGTCGCGCTGCACGGTAGCCCACACGCCTTGGGATACCTTCATTGTAAAGCCAGAAGGAGCGTCACCCTTGGGCCAGTCATACTCGGTCGTGTGGAAGCGAATGCCAGACTCGATGAGCAAGACAGCTTTCTCCGGCGTTTGCTGGAGGCGGATCAAATATGTCTTATTGTCAATATCGTAGATGTTGGCCACACGCATGCCAGTCAGCCTGTGACAAAGCCCAAGAGGGTGAGGTGTACGTCATTCGTACGCAGCTCTGAGTGAACTTGGCCCAGCTTGAACAAGCTTGCTCACCGGGGCTTGAGCTCTGCGAGCTGGACCTGCAGGTCCAATGTTGAGAAGCGGTTCTTCATGGGCAGTGGTTCCGGGCAATGTCCTTCCATGGTCACAAGCAAGCCAAACCAGTGAGGCAAGCAAAAGCTAACCCCCCCCTCCACCACCAATGCATACAACGCCCCACACCAAACCGCAATCTGCCACAACTTTACTTCCCCCCCCCCCCCCCCCCGA